TGTTTGACTCGGATTGCTTTAGCTTCACTTAAGAGATCCCTCTAGAAGTGTGACTCAGATTACATCCGCTTGACTTAATAGTTCTCCCTAGATATCTGACTCAGATGACATCCGCTTCACTTAAGAGATCCCTCTAGAAGTCTGACTCAGATTACATCCGCTTCACTTAAGAGATCCCTCTAGAAGTCTGACTCAGATTACATCCGCTTCACTTAAGAGATCCCTCTAGAAGTCTGACTCAGATTACATCCGCTTCACTTAAGAGATCCCTCTAGAAGTCTGACTCAGATTACATCCGCTTGACTTAATAGTTCTCCCTAGATATCTGACTCAGATGACATCCGCTTCACTTAAGAGATCCCTCTAGAAGTCTGACTCAGATTACATCCGCTTCACTTAAGAGATCCCTCTAGAAGTCTGACTCAGATTACATCCGCTTCACTTAAGAGATCCCTCTAGAAGTCTGACTCAGATTACATCCGCTTCACTTAAGAGATCCCTCTAGAAGTCTGACTCAGATTACATCCGCTTGACTTAATAGTTCTCCCTAGATATCTGACTCAGATGACATCCGCTTGACTTAATAGTTCTCCCTAGATATCTGACTCAGATGACATCCGCTTGACTTAATAGTTCTCCCTAGAAGTCTGACTCAGATTACATCCGCTTGACTTAATAGTTCTCCCTAGATATCTGACTCAGATGACTTCAGCTTGACTTAATAGTTCTCCCTAGATATCTGACTCAGATGACATCCGCTTGACTTAATAGTTCTCCCTAGATATCTGACTCAGATTACATCCGCTTGACTTAATAGTTCTCCCTAGATATCTGACTCAGATGACATCCGCTTGACTTAATAGTTCTCCCTAGATATCTGACTCAGATGACTTCAGCTTGACTTAATAGTTCTCCCTAGATATCCTACTCGGATTACTTCCGCTTGACTTAATAGTTCTCCCTAGATGTCTGACTCAGGTTACTTACAATATATATATTATTTCTTAGTTCTCACTAGAATATGAGCGAGACAAGTCTGACAGTTAGTTCTCATCAGACATTGAGTGAGATAAATCTGACAATTAGTTCTCACCAGACTGAGTAAGATTAAAGACAGTTTATGTGTGACCTTTAGCTATTCCCGGATGTAAGACATAGTTGAGGTAATATATTGATACTATAGATAGAGGAATATTAACGTCTGAAAGCATGATAGCAGTTTTGCAGTGGGTGCACAAAGTGTTAGTGATGCAGTGAGGCGTAAACATGAAGTTTAATAGTCATCAGAGCATGCTTCACTGAACAATTATTACTGGTACTTTGAATTTCCATCAATTACTAATGGAATCTGAAAGATCGTGTTTTAAGTTAATTTACACATGCAAACGCACCTGCATAAACAAGTAATATATATTCATGGGATTCTGTTCAATGACACATTGAGTTCCATTATAGATACATAAATGAAAACACTAACGTCAGAATCTATTACCACACCTAGTATCATTACAAATATTCCGTCAGCTGTTAACAAATTTCAACAACAGCTAAATCAGACACTATAATACAATCAAGATCGCAGTGGTAAGTTACGGAAGTGTATTAGTGCAATTATAACTTTAATAATTTACTCTGTAAAATTTACGCATTAATCTGTAAAATTTATACTTTAATAATTTTACAGATTAAAGTGGAAAAAAATTACAAATTAAAGTATCAAATTAAAAAATTAAAGTGTAAAATATACAGAATAATGTGTGTAAAACACAGAAATAAAAAAAGTTTTAAAGTTGCACTAATACGCTTCCGTAGTAAGTATTATCTTAGTTGCCATTAGTCTGTTAGACTGCTAGTTAGGGACACATTAGATAACGGTGTAGCCCATATAGCAATTATTGCTACAGGAATTCAGGTTGTCGCTTTCCTTGAATTCAAGGGTGACAGATTTCTAATTACCAATTGACTAGACAGTTCGATCGATGTATCGTTTACAAGTATGTATTTATAACTTTTGTTGTTGTACAAGGACATGCGTTAACAGAATTTTAAAAAAAAGTGTCGGTAAACCTTTATTTCCAGCATAAAAATAGTAAAGAATGGAGGACATTTTCAACATACACATTAAAATACTATTGTCCGCCTTTAGACGGAGATGTACACCTATATCACAATAAATGCGCCATGAACAATTCTCTGTTGTTACAAATATGACACAAAATATTGGCAAATTTATTCATTAGTAACATCCAAAGCGGGTCATGAACGACTCTCTGTTGTCACATATATGACACAAAATATTGGCAGATTTATTCATAAACAACGTTCAAAGGCATAAATGGACTTTAAATGACCTACTCACATGTACATATATACATGCAATCACTTGGTGCACACATCATGTCAGTACATTAACAAACTTTTGTATATGTGATTTAATTTTTAATCCCAAATCCTTGGAATTTGTTTATATTCATTATACAAGCGGCAAGGGCAACGGCAATCTGTACACGCATACAACGATATAAAATCCTCCTTGAATTTAGTGTTCAATATTTCTATGAATATCGTTCTGTCAATTAAAAATGTCCGCTATGCCTTCATCGATCGATAAGGTTATATAAACTGTATGTAATGAACTGACTGTATAAACACCATTTGATTCCAACAGGATTTTATTTTTCAACAAAACTAGAAAAGCGCACCTGATTTCAGGGGAGACGAAATAATACAACTTGTATACTATACCACGGGAAATCATATCTTCATACATGTAGATCATGATGAATAGGCTTGAATATGTATACAGATCTCCGGAAAGGATAAAAAAAATTGTAGTAATATTGAGAGTAACGTTGCAAATAAAACGACATTCCGAATAATTATATATAAGTATGTTTACTTGTATTACAAATGACGGCAATATTTGGAATCCATTTCCCATGAAAAACCATGTCTAATATCTGTATCCGTAGGGGAAACGCAGACATTTTCCCTTATATATGTAAACACGCTGTAAATGTATCCGTCTATTCTCAAGGAGTCTGGACTTACCCATACACGAGTGAAACTGTTTGGGGAACACGATAAATCTTTAAATGTTCGATTGTACAGACAAAGAGAAAAAAAATATAATCCAGCTAAAACAAAAGTTCGGAGATTTATCAGCATGGACAACAACTCCCAAGGATAACTAAGTCACGCAAGCGCCACCGTCACTCATAGCGGGAAAGTCCTGGCATTTGCTGGCGACTGTTTCTAAATGATGCTACCGGAACCAAGAACTATACATGTCTCTGTCGAAATCAGAGGATAATATTTGGAAATTTAAAGTTTACACGTAATATAAGGATTGAAGTGTCTTTTGGTAGTTTTATCTAAGGATAAAGTTCAGTATGGTGTTGACATATGTATGAAGCGGTACTTCTAAACATTGATACCATCCTTCGATAAAACCACCAAAAAGACACTATAATCCTCTGGTGTCTTTCATTCTCTTAGGGACATATATTGCATCAGCTGTTTAAAGATATACGTGGTTCTTATAAAACAAGAAGATACCAACATGTCAACTGAATCATAATCCTAACCCAAATGCGACAAAATTAGGGCAAAATGTTAACAAAAATATAGATTTTTACGGAAACTCCTGAAAAAAATACAAGAAGAATAAGACCAGGTGTTCCGGGTGAGTAAGTGTCTTCTGTTTCATTGACGACACCCGCAAGTATCGGTCAATCCGAGTAAGTAATATCGTGTTCTCAAATGAGTACAAGGTTTATAACAACGGAACCAACGGGCAAACTAACGAGCATCAAACACTTTCAAATTCATACAAGTTAATATTAGTCCTCAGGAAATGGCCTGTTCGTTATTATACGAGTGCAACACCTTTATGCAGTTTTCTGATCATAAAAATCTTGGAGGGTTAAACTGGTGATTCTCAGGAACAGAATCCGTCAGACTTCAAGCAATGTGATCTGTGTGTTTGACGAGATATTTCATTATAATTTAAACTTGTTATATGTGGTAATAAAAGTAACCATATAGACCAAACAGGTTTTACGTCTTCTGTCGGGTGTATCAATAGGCCATATATTTTCTGTTGTGTTAACTTAATTGATAAGATCAGCCAATTAATGACTGACCTAAGAAGGTAGTTCGTTTCATTTCTAATAAACTGTGAGACTAAGCGATGTTAAGAGCTTAAATTGATGTAATGAAAGAAGTGATAAAAACGTCTAAATTTTTTGTGTGTAGGAAAGCTACTTTGTCCCTTAAATCAAGTGGATTTTAGTAATAAATTAGGTTGTATTACCTGTAGATTTGGCCGATGACATATATATATATTTATATATACATGTAAATCACATGAGCGGCGCTATCGCTCTATCAGGTTTAATGTAAATGGTCGATTTGTAAATTCGCTATTTTAGTGAGTATCTTTTGACGTCTACCCAAACGATCAGGTGCTGGGAATGGCCCGATAGTCGCTGTCGGTACCAGGGACGTATAAAGGATTGTACAAACTCTATCAGCTTTATCATGTAATTGTGTTGCTAAAGAAGGCTATTATCATCATTCAAATGTGTACGTGTACTTTAACAAAATACTGATTGTGCTAAGCATATATCAATCCACCAGACAGCTTTCCTCTCAGACGAAAATATTTCGGTTAAAGATTCTGTTTACTTTACAAGTGTCGCATGAGCTGTTGTCAGACTTCAATGATATATAATTAATATAATGATTTGTTGATCACAGGTGGTCAACCATGACCGCCTCTACCAGTTGACATTGAGTGACACTCGGGTGTTATTATTGTGACGTCACACCCACGAGACACACCTTCGACTGCTTTAATTGACGCAAATAAAATTTATCCACACGGGGTAAACAGGATCCGTCCTGATGAGTACATCTCGTGCATTCACGCGTGACCATCGTGCCAAAATGCAATATATCTGACACACTCGATTTGTACAGTTATTCGGAAAGGAAACATGTCTGGTATAAACTCCACGACCTCTGGACTAGAACTCATATCACAAAGATCCACTCCAACGTTAAGAAGACGTTCGGACATGGGAGAATCGCCTAATTATTCATATAATGGCGGGTTTTGGGAGCCTCCGGCCGACTACCAGCAGACAGAAACAAAGGCAGACGAGGTAAGTCAAAGAATGACCCGAGATTGCAAATACTGTTTCAACGAAATTCGTTTATAACATTATGGCCATTCGGTGATTTAAGAGTTATCAAACGATGGAAATGCATAAATTTGTTCATGTACGCAAAAATTGACCCTCAGATCAGATGACTTTTCTTTATTTTCTCTCAATACACGCATGTCCTGGTCTTTCATTTACCTTGGACTTATATATATGCAATTAGTTTATATTTTAAATTTGTTTTATGGTATATCTCAGAGACCCAGTCCTCATTCCCCCTGTTTCTACTGCTATAGACAATATACTATGGGTATTACTGGTTTTTTTTTCTTTTCTCACATGTAACGGTATAAGTAATTTATGTCCTTAATTTAGAATGCGTTTTCTGTAACTGGAGATGGATTTGTACAAGATGTAAAACTTGTTTCCATTTCCAATTTCAATCACGTGTTTGCTGTTACTATTGATGCTATGTAAAGAGAAATAAAAGTTGGTAGAAATATTGTGGCACCCATGAACTATCAGAATATGGTGTAATAGTTCTTGTACTGTTTGATTAATCATAAAATTTAACAGCGTCCTCAAAAATCGCATTTAAAAAATTGAAATTTCATAAGTGGGCTGTCACCGTTTTATGTTAACATTTTCGAATCAATTAAGCACTACAAATGAGCGGTTTATCGGAAACATTTAAACAATTTCAGCATAGAATGGTTCGATCGCATATTCCAAAAAAATGACTAACAACAGACACGATAAATCCGTGGTTACACAAACAATTAATACTTAAAAACAAAAAATAAAAAATAAAAACAGGATAAACGATCCGTTAAAGATCTGAAACATCACAGAAATTACTGCGACAGGCCTACTGGGATCACATAGGTAATGTCATAACAAATGCTGACACGAAACGATCACATGAATGCGGACAAATGTAGGACCCATCTTAAAAAAAAATAAAAAAAAAACTTTGGAGCAGGGACACTGAAAAAAACGCAACCCTCTGAGATATCCCGTACTATCTGTTTGTTGATTTTACATCTTTTATCTTGTTTTTTTTTATTTTGTTTTGTTTTTGTTCGTTTGGGTTCTTTTTCTGAAAATGACATCAACAGACATATTTCAACATCATTATCATCCAATAAATACTAATGTGACAAATATACCATTCATATAATTTGAAACCTATTCTTAAATCTAGAAACCTCTCAAGTATCTAATCCGGAAGTAATTCTTCCTAAAATTAGTTGTTTTGTAGCAAACAAACAAAGCAACCCCAATTCCGCATCTCACCTTCCACAGGTCTCGTGAAACCAGTCTTATCTTAACGGATTGGAAAACAGCTGATAATGTCCCAAATTATGTCAGAATGACCCAAAATACATCTTTTTAGAGAAATGTGTTGCCAAAATATGGCACCTATTATTGTCAGTAATACCAGGAACCTTGCAGATAAAACCAAGATACCGTTTACCCTCTTCAGCATTGGTTCCAAGACGGGATCAATTGTATATCTATTTTATTACCTACCGTGACAATACTCTATACATATGTACAGTAGATTCCCTCGATAGGACAATAGCCTGACGTCACAAAAACAATGCAATGGCGTCAGATCAACAATTTGATAAAACAACTCCACGTCAACAATCAACAACACCAATAATTGAGAAAACAACATCACATGTAGAGAAATAAAGTAATCATCCAACCTCTTGAGGGTGATATAGGATGATCTCAACCTTCCGGTAAAGATTATTTAGTCTCATGTATGCCAACATTAGAAAAGTTCCCTCGGGTTCAGACGACACTTTTTCTTGTTATCCAAACGTGTCATATATTTATTGTAAATGATAATAAGCTCAATATACAACATATTTAACGACAAGAATTTAATGTTTAACGATTGTAAAGTATATATTTTTGTGTAGATCAGTATGGTCACTCGCTATTATAATAATCATGCATACAATGTGTCAGTAATCCTGTATAAATGATAGTGAATGCTTTTTATGATTGACTCCCTACAGGACGAGATCTCCGTGCAGACAGATACGTCCACTGACTCCAACAAATACAAGTCCTTCAGGAAGTTAATCGTACGATTTGCCGATAAAACCTCCATGCAAGGAGTGCCCTATATAAACAGCGCTCGATTGTGGTATGCCAAAGTGATCTGGACACTTCTTCTTGTGATTGCAATTGGTTGGATGTGCTTCCATCTGTACTATCTCATCACACAATTTATTATGTGGCCAAAACAAACAAAAATAAAATTAAGTTTTAGCAACTTAGAAATGCCAGCAGTGACTATTTGTAACGTTAATCCAATTAGGAATTCCGCTGTCAAGAAGGCGTCGAAACCATTACAGAATCTCATAAAGTACGTTGATCCTTATGAATTTTTAGACAGCGGAGAAGACAGCGAGGAGAAAAACATCGATTGGCAACAGACTCAGGGCCCTGTCACTGAAAGTCAACCCACAAATGGGCCAAATGTTATAGGAAGTGGACCTATCGCAAATGTTACTAGAGACAATGGAATAGATTCTAATGTGACCAGAACAGGTACGACGGAACAAAGCAATGGCACAGGTAACGAACTTAGCACAGGTGTTACTGAAGACAGTGGAACTGATTCTAATGTTTCCAGAACAGGTACAACGGAACAAAGCAATGGCACAGGTAATGAACTTAACACAGGTGTTACTGAAGACAGTGGAACTGATTCTAATGTTACCAGAACAGGTACGACGGAACAAAGCGATGGCACAGGTAATGAACTTAACACAGGTGTTACTGAAGACAGTGGAACTGATTCTAATGTTACCAGAACAGGTACAACGGAACAAAGTGATGGCACAGGTAATGAACTTAACACAGGTGTTACTGAAGACAGTGGAACTGATTCTAATGTTACCAGAACAGGTACGACGGAACAAAGCGATGGCACAGGTAATGAACTTAACACAGGTGTTACTGAAGACAGTGGAACTGATTCTAATGTTACCAGAACAGGTACGACGGAACAAAGTGATGGCACAGGTAATGAACTTAACACAGGTGTTACTGAAGACAGTGGAACTGATTCTAATGTTACCAGAACAGGTACGACGGAACAAAGTGATGGCACAGGTAATGAACTTAACACAGGTGTTACTGAAGACAGTGGAACTGATTCTAATGTTACCAGAACAGGTACGACGGAACAAAGCAATGGCACAGGTAACGGTAAGACAAATGCACGCGACAGTGACATCCGTCGTCCAACAGGAGGACCTCCCAAAACCCAGGGGACTAGCGAAGATGGACAGCCCGCCAAAGGAAGGGTGAGCATCCATCTCTCTCTCTCCCTCCCCCACCCCCCAACTCTCTCTCTCCGCTCTCTCTCTCAAAACATTTTTTGTCAATTTACCGCCCCAATACTTACCATTCATATTTGTATTTTTGCTTACTTTTTATATTTAATTCCTTGTCTGCTGACTTCTCGCTATTTAACGAAAAAAGGGTGAAACACTATTTCGTTATCTCATGTTATAAACCATATTTTTTTTAATCAAGTGAGGATATCTTGTTACAGAGACACGGGCTCCATATAATTGGTTTTCTTATCTATTCTAATATATTCCTATATTACCGACTCCTGTGTTGTAAAGGTGGACTGAATCACGAAACGTCTTCTTTCACATAGATATTCACGATATAATGTATTATAAAGGGACTAAATTGTAAACTGTCTTTATATAGATATTCACGATATAATGTATTATAAAGGGACTAATTACGATGTAATGTATTCATAGCGGGGTGGGTGGGGGTGAATTGTCCTGACATAGATATTTACTAATTACGATGTAACGCATTCATAGCGGTGTGGGTGGGGGTGAATTGTCCTGACATAGATATTTACTAATTACGATGTAACGTATTCATAGCAGGATGGGTGTGGGTGGGTGGGGGTGAATTGTCCTGACATAGATATTTACTAATTACGATATAATGTATTCATAGCGGGGTGGGTGGGGGTGGAGGTGAATTGTGAACTGTCTTGACATAGATATTTACTGATTACGATATAATGTATTCATAGCGGGGTGGGTCGGGGTGGGTCGGGGTGGGCGTGAATTGTGAACAGTCCTTACATAGATTTTCACGATATAATGTATTTTAAGGGAGAAAGAATCATGAACTGTCTTCTTTAACACAACTTTTCGTAATAAAATGGACACGAGGGAAAGTAAATTCTTTTACAAACAAATATGAACTACATAATATGTAATGTGAGAGGAATATCAATAATGAAAAATCATCTTTTACATAAATATTAACGGTATATTTTGCGCCCTCTTGCTACAGAATCGTAAGAAACGCTTTGTGGACGACTTCGACAACACTAAGATAGATGATTACGAAGATTATGATGAGGATGATTATAAGGAAAAGCATGAACCACCGAAACCCCCTAGGGATCCCGTATCTAACCTGGAGGACACCTTCCGATCTCTATACTTCAAGGAAACCAGGTAACAGTTACCAGGAACTAGAAAACAAAATTTGTTCAGACTAGCTGTCTAACTGCAGTTTCCTTACGTCATTATAAGTGACGGAATTTACTTTTCCTTTATTATCTTTAACGACTGCTGGTTAAGTTTGCCCTATTCCTGCCTACTTTTACCCTACATCCATTGATGAAGGTCATACACACATACTTGACGTAAGAAGTACAGTTCATTACTGTATTCTTGAAGTTTTCATCATTGCAAAAACCTTTGACACTACTGGTGAGAAAGCTGCTTTGTCAATGGACTTTAAGTCCGCAATGATTGCTGCCATAGTTACGCCACGTAAAAGTTGTTATAAGTCGGTTCAGGATATGAACATGTTCTATCCAAAATGTACTTGATTCACTGCAAGTTTGGTTCACTTTTTTATGGGTTTATTTAGGCCAGTTATAATTTCCAAAATTCCCTGCTGAATTTCCACAAATTGACCCCTAACATTACAGAAGGTTTTTAATGGTCGTGATAACAATCTCATTGCGAAATTTTTCTCTAGCCTCTGTTTAGCATTATGTTATTCATAAGTAATTCATTTTGAAAACATCTTCAATGGGAGACCGATGGTTATCATCAAACGATGATTAAAGTTGAGTCATACATTTCGTATCAAACTGGAATGAAGGGGCTATCAAGCTTGTTCGTATGAGTAATATTCGTCTACTCCTGATTTCTCGGGGAGTAAGTTATCTCATAATCACACGAGTAAAAGATGTTTGATGAGCAGCAATCTGGATTAAATAACTTCCAAGTTTGTTTAAATACATTCCAGTCTTAGATATCAAACATTCAAGAAAATTGATAATGTCAGGCGGTGTTTCTCTCAATCGTTTGATCAATATGTTAATTTTGGTAAGATATGTGAATATGGAAACAACTTTTTTCGAAAATGTAAGAGTTTTTAGAAAATATCTTTGAGTTATCAAGAAACAGAAGAACAAAAACAAATATATAAATAAATAAAATAAAATTAACATAAATGAATAAAATAAATGTTACTCTTTATCAACTCTCGCAGCTATCTTCATGTGGATGACATAAACCTTTATTTTTTCAGGAAAAATAGAGTAGAAATGGGACACCAAATCAAAGACATGCTCATCAGCTGCTCATTTGACGGTTACGAATGCTTCCCAGAGTGAGTGTTTCTTAGATTGGTGTAATCGCTGTTGTTGAGAAGACCATTTAAGGATACTGTAGTCGATGACCCTTGCACGCACTATTAAAGACCGAGTGTTATAGTTATATCTCCAGATTAATAACACTATTTAAAAAATCGATACCCATAAAACTCTACAATAATGTCCGAGAGATGTGTTAAGATAGAACCCAGATTCTTTCCGTTGTTTAACCTTTATGTATATAAGTTATTGGTACTAAAACAATACCTCTATAGAATGGCGCTGATTTGATAACCGCATGACATCTGCTATTCCGATATTCTGTGAACCGAAAATTACCAATTCTCCAAAACGTGTTGGTCATCAAAGGAGTGTTAGAGTTCTATTGGAATTTCTCGGCACCATCGTACTCTACATAGGTTCCGTTAAAACTAGATTGTGCTGACATTGAAACTGACTGTAAGCAACGGCGTTCTTCAGAAATAATGTATATTCTGAAACATCATGATTCACTGCTTTCATCACCATTTGAACATGGCTGCTCTGGCTTATTAGACAAATGTTTTATTGAATGAGTTCTCTATCGTGAGAAAGAAGATAGTGCAATACTAGTGATATATGTGTTTATTTTCTTAAATTGTTCATATAATACTAATACATCAGTAACTTTTGTTTCAGTAATTTTACACGATATCAGACCATGGAGTACGGCAATTGCTACAAAATACAGTCATCAGCATTCACGTCCAAAAGTCCGGGACCACAACACGGTGAGTTGACACAGGATATTGCTGTTAGTTACTTCAACGTAGATAGAACTAGAGATAGGGCGGTATAGATAAAAGTCAAACGTTCATGAGTTTTACTAGTATAGGTTTAGTTATATAGCATCAAAGAGAGCTAGACTCCAAACTCTTATCAGTATTCATGTCATATAGCATGTTATGATGTTTGTTATTGATTTACGGGTAGGATATCTTCACCAGAACAATATAAACCACGTTTGACAGAAAATGAATTAAACGGGTTCTTTATTTCTATCACATTTTTTTTATATCATTCATAACAGATTAAAATGCAAAAGAAAAAAACATGAATAGTCGCCGTTTTCTTTAGAAAAAATATTGAAATATATTTCAAAGGATTCAAATATTGCAATCTGGGTGTAAAAGAACTTATAATACAAAGATGTTTCTTTTTTAGCGAATTAAATTTTCGTTATCACGTTGATGTACCACGAAATAGAGTAAAATATCATTCTCGCGAAAATAATCTTCTAAACGGTATATGTTTTAGTTAACCATTCGTTTAATGTGTAACTGACTATATAAGTGACAAGCCCCGTGAATCATGATTCAGTTAATAGCGCATATAAATCATACACGTGATGTTGTATTTTAAAGAAAATATGGCTTTTAAGTTGAAGTCACCTATGTAAGTAATATCGCTGATTGTTTTTATTGATAAAAGGGGGAGGGGGAGGGAGCAATCGCTACTACAGTCCTTAGACATATCGTTGCTGTCATCTCATCTTTTCAGAAGTCTTTGAACGTCATCCAAAAAGTTTTGATTTTAATGGTCGTGTCAATTTAAGTTTTTTTATACAGTCTTTCCCACGGAACACGTATTGACATTTTACCACAAGGAATAACTACCTACACATTTGTATAAGGTACATGAATCAATAGGTGCCTATTCATTGGTGTTGGCAGACATTAAAACATAAATACCAACCTTCCGCGGCTAGTTGGCCTCGAGGTACATAGCTTTGTGACAGGTTTGACAACATCATACTGAGAATTTTTCTCTGAATGAATTCATTATTAGCGATAATGTAGCCAATAGATCGAAGCTGTAATGGACTTCACTTAAACAGTATTGATCCTTTGTGTATACATAGATTTTCCAGACGCAGACATATGTTGTATTTTGTAAATCCTTGGCGTAGTTCACCTGTTTCCTGTGTATTCTTGTTTGCATACCAGATTCAGAATACCCCTTCCTCATTTTGTGATTGTTGTAATTTTTAGCAAAACATCTTTTTTTACCTTGGTTACTGACTCCACATAACGTTGATAATTTCAGGAAGCGCAGCATGTAGATTAATGCCATGGAATGTAATGATGGACAAGTCAAAAACAATTAATGCCTAACAATCATCTTTTTGTAGTACATAACGTAGCGCATAACCTTACACAAGGTATTTCCAGGAAACAAAATGTTTTGCATTACTTTACGATTAAATTAACATATAGAATTATGGTTTCAAATAGCGTTAATAAAGGACATGTGTATTTTTTTAAAATCAGAGGAATAAGTTTACCATTAGATCTTTATTTTAAAATATATGTAAAATAGAATTATGGTTTATTATTCTATATCAACTCATTTTTATTTTCTTCTAAAATAACATTTTTGAATTGACTACACGTGATGAATGGTTGGATGACGTTCAATGTTACAGCTACTATTACAATGCTTACCTGTTGCTTTCCATCGTGACATTTACTGTAAATATAGATTGATATAATTTATCAGTTTAAACTGGAGTCTTTATATTTGAAAGAAATTATCTCCCTTCCAGAACAACAAAGTCCAGAATGTACTTGTACAAGCATAATTTTCTTTCCATAGGATTGACCATGATTTTGTTTATGGAAAACGACGAATACCTTCCCGGCTTTACTCAAGGTTACGGTGCACGCGTCACCATAAACGACCAGTATTCATTTCCTTATCCGGCAGATGAAGGATTCTTCGTCTCTTCTGCGTTTGAAACTCACATTGGATTAAAACAGGTAGTTTAGACTTTACTTAACGAAAATTCTATTTTACATGAAACCTTCGCCACTAGCTTTTGAAAAAAATTTACCAGCAATAGAAGTAAAATGGAATTTCAAATGTTTTGTCTTACTCTGTTAAAATGAAATAACTGTATTAACAGTACGATATCAAATACATCTGTAGATAATGTCTTAAAAATAAGAGTTATCAGGAAAGTTATTCTTTGGAAACGTCCATAATTGAAAGAAGTGTAGGGATTATAATAGAGACAAGTTGATTTGATTTGGCAAATTTTCTTATTAGATTTTCACTAAGAATGAGTATATCAAAATTACACTAAGTTGAGAGAGAATCAGATAATAACAAGAGCGAAATTAATTATGATTGCTCTTTAGTTTACCGCCAATAAAATTAATTGTAATTACAACAAAAAGATAATTGTATAATTTTAGGAGGACACGGAAGACAACACAGTTTACAAATGTTAAGAAGTTGCATTTTCCTTTTTCTTTCGTTCACATCTTTATTGTATGAGTTTATAAAGGTATCAAAATTTATCAAAATCATGCGAAATTACCGGAAATGTCAACAATATTACAATGATATCAAGTTAGTGAATGCGATGATAACAATAAGTTTATATCATGTAGCAGCGAACGGCGAAATGTGGAGGAATTTTATCTTTTTCATTTATCCGTTGATAAAACAATACAGACTAAATTGCAAAAAAAGGTGTTACCGGAAGAAATGTACTGCAGCATTAGAGACATCGACATAAGAGCAATTCAATCTAAAGACATTAATGAATAACAAGCCTCGATTTTAAGGGAATTAGAATATGCATAGGATTATATGATTTGTAGACAATGTGAATGCCATTTTTCGCCTCCTTTCTATAGAGTTTATAGACGATATAAATGCCAGCTTTACAAATAAATATAAAAGTGCGTAACGTATTGCTTGACTGCAAATCAAAAGAGATGAGAAATATCATAGCATTCTGTCCAAAGCTTATATCTGTTTGAGTTTGGTACATATAGGTAGTCAGGATCTCAATAAGGACAAGAAAAATACCGGAATTATATTTTAAGATATTCGATTGCTTAATATCTTGTTCTGAATTACTTTTTATCACAATTTCTATATTTCATTATGTGTATAAAAACGACACTGTCCAATTACTGAAGCCAATAAGTACCAGCTTTATAACTGATAATTGATACAAAACACTAAACATACCAAAGTCATATACCGTCACAAAGTCGCTGATCCTGCGATAAAATAGTATACCTTGAGTATATATCAGTTTCTAAGTCTTCAATTTCTGTGAATACATTTTCCGTAAAACGTACACGCGAGTTCACAGGGAAGTTAATTAATGAGTTATCTTTACATTTTATCACTAATCTAGACTCGATCATGTTTAAGAGATGCTCATATTGTTCCACTGTAGACAAATATTGAGAGGCTTGGAAATCCCTATGGTGAATGTGACAATGGAGTTGAGTTTGAAAAGCGTTACGGACTCAGATATTCCAGACATGTAAGTATCCCTATCAGTACTGTATGGAGTTGCTTTGTGTTGCATATTTTTTTTAAAATTTGTTTGGGGATCACATACCTATTATTAATGTTAAATGGCAGAATAGAGATACATTTGTAAATGACAAATTAAAAGTTGAAATATAGCGATTCTCGGCGCTATTTTAGCGATCGTGTGCAATTACACACAATTGTATGATTATGCTAAAATGAGACCTATTCACAAGGCGTTTCCATTTCTTAACGTGTCAAAGTCGCAGTTTCCCTCGGCAGCATGGTATTGTTCTTACCATAGTTTTGTTTAAGGTTAGGGCTAACGTCACCGTATAACAGGTAATGACCTTGCTGTACGTTCTTTCAGACTTGTCAGGCTACGTGTCACCTACAGACTGTAATTGACCATTGTGGATGCCACGATGTAAACAATATGGAAGTGTTTTCCCAATCTTCTCTGCTTGACACTACCAAACCTTGCAGATCACGAGAAGGTACGTTTTCCAAGCAAGAGTAGAACAAAGACATATAGGTAAAATTTATCTAAAGTCATCAAATTGCTGGAAATTACATGTGATAACGGACCTTTTTGTTCAAAACTATGCTTGTCCTTGTCAAAACACACATGGCATTACTGGACAATATCAAGGTATGTAAATAGGAAGAGAGAATTGAGGGTTTAGCTCAACCCTGCAAAACACGAGAAGCTAACAAAGCATTTGGCAATCTTTAGGCGTTTAAAGCCACATTCAATATTGGACAATTGAAAGGCCCCGAAACGTAGTGTATAGAAGTATTCGGTATTCTGGCGAGGTTACCGTTTATAGCTTTGATGTCACCACTGTCCATGTTGATTTCATGTGTTGGTGTTACGGCAATATTAGATTTTTTATGTTATTGGGAAGACACGTTAACCCACTAAGGCAAAATAAATCCTGTACATAAATACCCACACCTACCGGATGCGATCAGTTTTTAATGTATTGGGAATGTCATTGGATGCCTACTAAAGACAGGATATAATGCACTTTACCAAGTCTTATTGCTGTTGTCAGTACGTAAAAATTGTTTTGTCATTTCAGAATTAAAGTGTCAATTTGAAATTGCCAAAGAACTAGACGACAAAACTAGAAAATGCGAATGTTACAACCCATGTGTGTAAGTAATATAAAAATCGTTGATAAAAGATGGAGGGTGTTATTACAAGTTTATCTTTTGATACAGTTTGAGATAAGATGTATGAAGATATTGTAAGGCGTAGTCCTACTGCGAAATACGTAGTAATAATAATCAGATAAAGAGTAGGGACATGTGAATGCAAGGTAATAGATCAGTGTAGATATAGAATAGGACTGCTAAGTATATGGTAAAAACACATAGAAATGTTGACAGGACTGTGTAAGTACAATATGGACTTCGTAGATACAATACAAGCAAATAAAAAAATGCAATGTACGACTATATACAGTGCACGACTATCTACAGTGTAAACAATGTAAATGTAATTCAGGAAATGTATTTATAGTGCTGGACTACCATGGTACAATACACGGAAATGAAACATTTTAGAACTATGTAGGTACAATACAGGGAAATGTAGATACAATGTAGGACTTTGTAGATACAAAACAGGGAAATGTAGATACAATGGAGGACTTTGTAGATACAAAACAGGGAAATGTAGATACAATGGAGGACTTTGTAGATACAAAACAGGAAAATGTAAATGCAATGTATGACTATACAGAGAAAATTCAGGGAAACGTATATACAGTGTAGGACTAAGTACAGTGTAAACAAAGTACCTGCAATTCAAGGAAATGTATATACAATGCTATATACTATGTAGATACAATACAGAGAAATGTAGATACACTAGAAATCTGTATGGATACAATACAGAGAAATATAGATGCAATGCTCGACTATGTAACTAAAATATAGGTAATGTAAATACAATCTTCATAGATTCGTTGAACTATGCAAATACAATATAGCTAAATGTATTTACAAGGTATAGCTATAAATATACAATACATGGTTAGATATAGTGAATGGTTGGTAGTTACATTACATTGAAATATAGGTATAGTGTAGGGATGTGAAACGTTGCAGGAATATATACATGGCTGACGTTACAGAAATATAGTTCTTCAAAACAAACAAATATATATATATATATAACATCAACATTGCTATAGCAAGCACTATGCTGTCACAGTAATTAGGTTTACTTTTTAATTCATGACTTAATTAACCAGCACAATTATACAGTTACACTACTATATATATTACTACTGTAAATCGGAATAATCCACTCTAGGATATACACGTGTAAATATATCATAAATAGATAGATTAAGTAATCTAGGACAAAGCATTATATATGAGTTCATTTATGAATTGTGGAAAATAATCTCAGAAACGTTCAAGTTGAGATCTGTACACTAAAATGTCAAAAAAAAAAAAAATTCCAATGAAATATCAATATTTTAATTTATAAAAATTGGAAACTTTAGTCGTACATATATCTATAACTAACAAATAACAGAGATTACCTTGGTACATTATTGCAGGGAGAAGCAGTGGATAAGATCAATAAGTACAAGACAATGGCCTACAGAGTCATACACGGTAAGTAGGGACACACAACATTGTTAGCAGGCTTCTGTTTAAATCATTAACGAAGATGTACGAAATATTGTCATTATAACCCTCATCCTCTACACACAATCATATATCCACTCCTAATTAGTTAAAAGTGGTCACTTTGAACGCCATAAGAGCGTCAGAACCTACTTCATAAACCCTCGACAGATTTACTTCATATATCCACACCATGAAACCGTAATCGTCAGGTTCCGTGGTTGGTAATCATCGGTTACGGTAAGAATGTAAAAGGTCATCCAACCACTTTTGAAGTGAACAAAATGACGTACAAGATTTTTTATGGACCCCTCAACAGTTTTAGTTCATATTCACACCATACCAGCCCACTAGCAAGTTCTCCTGTTGTGTTTTAGGTGGTCATTGGTCAAGCTTAAACATGACCTATTTGGAAATAAAATTATCCACAAGATATGTAGTGAATCCCTTAACGGGCTTAGTTCATATTCATACCATAGTGTAACATTACGTTCTAAACTTTAGTCCATTCTGATGCTCATCCGTCAAGGTTAAAAGGTTGAAGGATACTCTTGATAGCATTCGAAATTGAAAAGATCTCTCATGAAGCCTTTAAAAGAATAAAAGAAATTAGAAAAGGCCATGTGAGCCCCAGCTCACCTTTATCATTTATTTGTTCCAGATGACGCTGCTGAGAGGATTGTGTCAGAGACGGCCACAACAATGTAAAAAAATTGAAGCAAAAGCAGATGATCGTAAGATTAGGTGAGCCAGTCTATTAGATTTGCGTACATAAATGATAAAACAGCTTTATGCTTAATTTTTACATTCTACATGGTACAGCTTCTGGTTTGGATTTTCCTCAGTCGCCTCATAGGGATTTTTAATTAGGCCCTTAGTAGCATCACTTACGAAGCTTATTAAGACGAAACAACTGTATGATACAGTTTTATTTACTACTTATCACTACTGCATCTAGTTCTTAATTTTGTTATAAGGTGCTATTCACTTGTGAGTCTTGTGCAATATTTGATCTGTACTAAACTGTTCTTAATTAATAACTTATTCCGTTTCAGTTTGAACTTTCTGAAAATAGTTGTGTATTATCAGGATTTGAATCACGAAGAGATCATGGAAGATCCGGAAATTGAGGTAAAGACTGTCTTCATATAATTTTATATTGTTTAGTGGGAATACATGTACGTATTTGTGGTTCATTTGATCATGAAAGACGTCGTTTTTTCGCTTTTTACTAGATAAATTAAACGCAAGAGAGAGATCTAATAGAATGCGTTAAGGTTATTTGTTGTTATTCTTGTCAATTAAATCAGTTAAAATGATTTGCTGTGAAATATTCTAAAACAACCAATATTTTTTAAAACAAAGGACAGATAAAAAAAAAGGTCTTCGTCTTATTCTTCATCAACGAAAATGTAAATCTACAAAAGTTTGTGTCGCATAGAAATAAAAATACCACGGTATGGTTATACTGAAACCATAGGACATATTAGTAAACACCGATTACGTTTAACTCTCACTTCAAAATTTTAGTGTTTCTTGAAAGTTTTTTCGTGTGCTTAACATTTACATTCATTGTCTCTGACAGTTCAAGTAAAAAATTTTAATAACAGTGATGATCTTATCACAATGAAAAAAGCTGTAGCTATACCGGAACTCCTGTGGTAAAAAGTTGAAACAAAATACTGTGAAAAAAATCCTTCGGTCTTAAAACTACCGTCTTACAATGTTTCACGCTTGCAAAAATGACAAATCAAACTATGGATAAAACATACAAAATAGTTGCATATGGAACTACACTATGACCATTCCAAGAAATCTCTATTTTTCCTCGAAAAGAAGATACTATTTCACATCCACGTAAAGAATGATCGCTGTTTTCTCGGGTTCTAGCGGTGAAATGAACTATATGATATTTTAAATATGAGGAATTTTTTATATTTTTTTCAACAGCCATAAGGTCATAACATGAGATTTTTGGATATATTCCATAAATCGCTAATGTGTAATAAGACCCTCATATTTCGCATATACATTTAACAGAGAGACACATTAGTGTCATATTACAGCTTTCGGCTTGGCTATGTTTGAACTAAAATTCTTTTGCATCAAAACTCATTTACCAATCATAGGAGTTATCCGTAAAAGGCTCTTACTCCAAAAGACGTTAACTCAGAAAGCAATGGGCAACCTCCGCCCTGATATTTGGCATATTTAGAGGTCTGGATGTGATTTTGGTATTTAACATATTTACGATAATAAACTATCACTATGTTTTGATCTAAACGTTTTTGTCCCAAAACTTAATTCTAAGTTGTGGGGATAAGGTTTCGAGTTCAATACTTTCCACTTGAGGTTTTTTGGAATACACTATGGCAATATGTAGGAAAGAAACTGCTATATCTTGTACATCATTGTGACATATGACAGGATAGTCACGTTCATGGTACAGCTAAATGGGAAATCACCACTGTTGGTTATATTGAGAGTGAAGATCGAGATAAACGGCTAATATAGTAAAATCTGTAGAATCATTGATTTTATTTTTATGGAAAAGAATTACGATAGTCATATCAACTAAATGTCTTCGATACATCTGAAAAAGAAAATGAACGATTTTGAAATATACATTTGTATAACTCTGATAAACTCTATGATAAGCTATTACAAACCTGTTTCATAACTTTGTATATTCTCGTGTGTTGCAGACCGCTCAGTTTGCGTCAGACGTTGGAGGTGCCATCGGTCTTTGGATCGGACTTTCTATCTTGAGTATGTTTGAGGTAGTTCAGCTTTTTGTGGAAATGTTTCAGTATGGGATATACAAGTGTAAACATCTAGGTGAAATGGGTAGGAATAGAAAACCTAATCTCCCATCAACAGAGGACAAGTATCACGGTCAAGCTCCAGGTGTTCTTAATTTTAACCAGTCCCAATTTGCCAAGGAACATCTATACGATGGCAGATTTGCAACATCACGGTATCAATACTAGTGGATGTACATGTATAGTATTGAAACACCAGTAAAAGTGGCCAACATTAACTCCAAAAGTCAGAAGAATTTTGCATATTTCCGTGAGGAAGCCAATTGGGATGCATTGAAAATTGTATTGAAACATCCAAATATGACAAAGATTTTACCGCTGAAATGAGCTTACCTTTGTAACTGAAAAACGAATTTATGAAATTCTTACACCTCAATACACTGTGTATTTTTGATCACACGTTAACTATCCAATTAGTTACACTTAATCTGTGTGTTTTACTTTTGTATACATTTCAGTAAGTGTTGAGTATTACTTCGTCTTGTAAACTCATGAAGAAATTTCATTCAATGTCTCATCAGTGCCTTTGTTTATTAGCTGTTTCATGCATCTGTTGTATCTGTAATTGTTTCGGTCTAGTATCGACAATACAATGTCTCATGATAAATTGTGAAATTATGAAATAAATTATACACCAATTTTGGTGTGCGTTCTGTCTTAATTGATTTAGGCATTCTGAATACAATACGACGAGCTTGTTATATCCATTTTATATTCTCGACTTGTACTGAGTGAACCAATATTAAGCAGATGACGTCATTGGATAAAGCACTCCCAGCTTAACACATGAATGATGATGACGTCACTCGTGGGATTCATAAAAATACACTTTAAAATGTTAAACTATATATTGTGTCTCGACCATACCGCGGCATTTAGATTTTTCACCTCCAGGAAAAAGTTCCCTTCAGGTAAAGAGAAAATCCTGTACGCACATGTATACACAAAACAATTTAGATGTTATACTTTAGATGCCTTCTTCCATGACGGATGAACCAGTGTTACGCTTCGTTTCCTAAGCGCTCTAAATGAATTAATCGTGTCATCATATATTATTGATGACACTGATATACGGAGGAATTGATTAAAACCTTATTTGTAGAATATTTCCTCTCGTTCATCGCTCTAATGTGACATCAATTAACGCAACGTACTTCTAAACGTGAAGGCTTCAGTGTAAAATATGTATCTAAGATGTTTGTGTATTACATATGGATAATTCGTCTTATGCCATTCTCGGAGGAGAGAATAGAAAGTGATAACCTTCCGCCCAATACAGTAACGGATGTATATCATTAAGTATCTAAGTGATCTGCATTGTTGTAACGGCAATGAGAGAATGAAACGTAAACAATTTATTTTCAACGCACCTCACAAACAATAATGTTAAGAAACTCACATATCACTTTGAACTCATCAGAAAATATATCAATGATGATTAGCACTCATACGTCAATCTTGAGAATACTCACGGACACATGAAATATTTAAATAAGATATCTCGAATGCAGGTATAAACTTAGAATTCGCCAAATTTTAAGTTATTTAAGATACGTTTTTTAATCAGTGTTAGTCATCAAACTTGTGAAAATTTAACATATAAATACATATCTATATTGGTTCCAGTTTTATGGAGGGTTTTTTTCTTTATCACGGGCTTAAAATAATTTTTCTGAAGAGTCAGTTACACGAAAACAGCATAAGATAGGTGATTCAATGAAAAGCTGTCCCGAGTTCATCGGTCATGGTCCACTGACGCCTAAGTGAAAGGTAAAGACTGCATAGAGCGTCATTCAACACTTGTCCCGCACAGCGTATACAGCGTAGCTATCTGTGATACCGACGACTGGATCTATACGATAACAGCAATGGTGAGTGTCTGTATTTGATAACTTATCGATTATAATATCGAAACTATGATATGGATATCTTTTAAATTTGTTTCGACACATGAAGGAATATCAGTGTCAGCTTGACACCCTAAATGTTTTGCCTATTCAACTAAGTTTTTGATACATTATATATCTATTCTAACATAAGATGCGCATGATGAACACTTACACTCTTTACTATTTATAACTCACACTATTTTGTCTAAATATACCTTTACTGGGTTACGTCCTTTCGATTCTTACCAAATGGACGATGTGTGTTTTGAAAGATATAAGGCAGGACGATGTAGTTCACAGGTGTGTTTGGTTGGTTTTGCTTCGTCAATGTCATGGAATCGATGCACATGATTTAATTTCTACTTAAAATAAAATCTAGCCAGGTAGTAATAACAACCGACACAATACTGAACGACAAAGAGTAAGGTTATGAGTGGGGTTGTGACCTTTGTATATGACGTTATGTGGCGAATCTAATAGAACACAGGTACGACGGTAATTAGGTAACATTAAAAGATGTCAAACCGGTTTAAAACGCTTGAGGGAAACAAACACGACTTAACGTATATCAATGTTAGTAAGACTTCCAATTGGACCTCTTTAATCATTGTGCAATCTTTATTACGATTAAAATAAACATAATTAGCAAACTGACAGCGAAAGAATATCATGTCAAAATCTTCTCATGAACATGGCGTTTATTTTGTATGAAAGGAAATGTGATATTATTACTTCTTGAAGTAGTTCAAACAGATTGTGTTACTAAGAAACACGGTTCTAAAAAAAACCTAAACGTAATAGAAATATGACATTAAAAGTGGAAACTGTAATTTAATTAAGACTAAATAAGAAACACACAGTGACAGTAATACCAGAGTCGGCCTTACTAAAAAGTCTGAATTGGTATGACTTTAGAACAATTACCGTTGACCTAATTTCTTCCCATGTGTATATGTGTGCTACGGTATGTTACAACGGATGTATTGTGGTGAAGATATCTCAAGGCCGCTTGAGAGACAGAAAACGTTTACGTTTTTACACATTGGGTACTATGTCTTTTGTTCGTTATATAATTGACATTTTCGTAGCGACAGTAAGGAATGTTTAGGTCCTCTGGCCCATTATGGGAAGTTTATCTATTGCTATCAGGCGTCGTTCATTGGCGTCCACCGTTCACCACACCTTTAAATTATTTTCAATATTTTTCAAACACGAGATATCGATTTATCTAACGTCAGTCGTGCTGATTAATACGACAACATTATTTGGAGCAACATTTTATTGTGAATTAAATAATGAAATACCAGCAAAGGCTATTTTCCAGGAAGTGAAGTAATAGATATTTTTTTTTCTATCCCTGGCTCGCCTCTGTGGATCATTTCTAAAGAAAACTAGCAACAAAAACATTCACGGCCGGTGTTTAAACTTATCTTAACTATTTTCACAGTCAATAATATAGTCTATTCTGTTTAACTCTTTACTGTCAGACATATCTTGAATTTATCATTGTATCTGTTGAATAATTCAAAAAATACCATAGTTATAAATGCAGTAATACATTTAATTATAACTAACACTTATCAGTTTATCTTAAAATGTAAATATATTCGCTAAATCTGTGTGACTATCATACCACATAAACGATTCGAAATGCAAATAATTACAATGCACACATCACAGGTAACATATGAAACAAATATTTCACCTTCCAATAGAGATGGAAATATCTAGATAAACTTTATATCTCATCACAGAAAAAAGACATGACATATGAAGAATTGCTGGTTTAAATGTCATGTTCACTATACCTATCAATGTAATTACAATGTTTGCCAGGTAGTCCCCTTTGAGAATACTTCAGAAACAACGTTTTAACTAAATCGATAAACCATCCCATTAATTACATTTTTCATATTTTGCCCACCAATATGATTAAGCTTATGCATACAATACCATGAGGTGCACCTCAGCTTCACAGAGGTTTAAACTCTGATATGTGTGCATAAAATGCATGATATAGGGGAAATTTTATTGGATATGGAGACAGTTTGGAACAGAGACAAAAACTGTGTTCAGATTATCTAATGATATTCCGGGTGTTTTATATATGAAAGATGCATCAATACATACATGGTTGGAATTGTTTTCTTTTATCAAATTCAAATAAATAGCTGTATATGATGTATGAAAAATAAGATACCTAAAATTAAGGATGTGTCTAACCGGTTTTTTTTTACCTGGGAATTGTTCTATTGATCAGGTTATTGTTAGACTTCTACTGAGAGAATGGAAGTAAAAATGAAATTATTCTATAAATCAAATTTGGTATCCGCACTCTCTCTTCGTATTCTAATACTCAACTATCATGTATATCAGATTTTGTTTATGATATATCTAATACCTCTTTGTAAAAATGTTTTTAAGTAAATGTTTACACAAAAAAAATAAATACATAATGAATTAAGCATACCGATGTCCCATGATTATATCGCTTACAGGTAAGATACAAATATATTCAATGTTTGTTTACAAAATAGCTTCACACTCGAGGTCTAGCAGTCATGTCAATACTTTAAACCACGTTCAGGTGTATTCGCCTTGCCAGTGACTGACTCCGTCCTCTATACTATACTGAACTGAACGTTTGTTTACTTTTGGAGATAAAAATAGAGTTTCCAACACATTTCAATGTTCTTCAAATTCAATCATACATAACTGCATCAAAAGTTGTCCTACGTTCTGAAATAGTTAAATTTTAATGGGAATACTTCAACATTATCATGTATGTGACCGATTTGGCTGGAAAAGTTTCAATAAAAGGAATTTAAGCCCGGGGTGTCATACTTAAAGGACTATGAAGTATAACAACAAAGTAACAAATATTCAGCATGTGTTCCTTTAGATTAGTTTGGAATTGTCGTTTTTACTTAACAGTCTTACTGTCTTTTTATCTCCGGCGTACGATATTTAAAGAACGACTCGCGTGCAATCGTGGTAACTTGTATTTACATTCTTTTAAACTAGTTTAGACATCATAAAATTCAAAACTGCGTTGCAAGAAAATCATAGGTGAATCTGTATTTTTTTCACCAGTTTTATCTTATTTTCCCTTTAATTTTACCCCGAATATCGATGCCAAGAAAGATGAACCGACAGACTGGTCTTTTTATTGTCTTACACATATCTATTTGCTTATGCAAATTGCAAAGAAATGTAAAAACACATTCACAACGATATGACGTACGGCACAGACTCAAATCTGACCTTATTGCCGCGGAACACTTAAGTTATTAATAATTAGTTAATTATTGGTATTGATTGAGAAAACAGATAATTTTATCAAAGAGCAGAACTGAAATGTTGACATGATTGATTTGTTGTTTTTATGTGTATTTTTCTGAAGAATCGATCATGATGATGCGTTCTCTAGAGCCCTGCAAACTGTTTTGTTCAAGGAATTTGATCCAAGTGTTAATAGGCTATGGTACATCATCATCGCCAATTCGATTATTTCATAATGTATTGTTGATGTATAACTCCACACCCACACACAATATTAAATTGCAATGTTATTATTACAAAGAGGGTGATCAATAATATGGAATGGTTAAGTAAGTATGGCAGGTAGCAGATAATCTCCATCGACAGTGTAAAAATGTCAGGTATCATCAGCATTCAGAAAAGGTCACTTAAAACACTGGTTAAGGGATAAAGACACCTACCCAAAGCGAAGGACTGACAAAAGTGAATCACTCATATAAAATATCAAGAAATGTAATAATCAGCGAAGGAATTCAATCCTATAGTAGTGTTGCCGTGGCCTTGATTGATTTGATATAACGAAAGGTATATATCCTACATTGCTACTAGGAATGATATGAGATTTAAAGACACAAGAAAGGATTAGTAGGAATCCAATGGGAAAGATAGAAAAATCGTAGGATCGACGCAGACAAATCTTAAAATACAGAAAGCAGGTGAATTGACGAAAATAAGGAAAATGATATAGCAATTTTATTGTTGTCTCTGGAAAATGACGGTTAACGTTATCACACCTTAGGTTACACGGTAATTTTCACAAATGATGTACAGTACAGCAGACTAGCTGTCACATTGAAAGATTGTTAGCAACAATAGTTAAGGTAGCGTAGCATATTAATGTTACTCCAGTGTAGTGTAACAACGGAATACGGAGAATTTTGATAAATGATTGGTTTAGTAATGACACATATATTTTGTCGTATATTTCAGGAAAGGAGACAAGACATGGACGGTAGTAATGCATCACTGGATTCAACAGGGAAACGAAAGTCGTTTCGACGCCTGTGTGTAAGATTTGCAGAGAAAACATCTTTACAAGGAGTTGGATACATCAACAATGCCCGGCTAATAGGTGCTAAGGTCGTTTGGGTGCTTCTATTATTAGGGGCCATAGGAGGCATGATCTTCCATCTTTACTTCCTGTTCGACCAGTACTTCACGTGGCCAGTCATCACCAAGCTTTCTCTGGGCTTCAATAACCTAGAAATGCCTTCGATCACCATATGCAATACCAATGCTGTGAAGAGATCAGAACTAAATACACTGACTACAAAGCTTCAACAATATGTGGCTCAAGTAGACAGAGCTATTATGACAAACACAACCGTGAGTTATTAGACATTATGTCAAACCTTGTTCAGATTCACTTTATGATCATGTGACGTTTACTAATCGATCATATAGAAGTACATATATGTAACGTGTTCTTCATATTTAGTTGTCCGTTTTCAACTTCAGTGGGTACAGTTGAATATTCTAATATTATTGTTTGAAAATACAGCACATCATATTGATCTTTACAAAGAACTTTTTAATCAACCAGCCTTACAAAAAAGAATTAACCTCTGCAAGGTCATATACTACACGTGTTCATGGTTTAGCTACGTATTGCATTCGATTTGCTGCAAAAACAAACTAGTGAATAGCACATTTTAATATCAATTTAGAGTTAGAGTTAGATAATATGTTTTACTGCATTATAGAGCTGTTTCGTTGTTCTAGGACTCGTTAATTATACTAAGGGTCTATGATAGTCTTGATTGCATTAAGAATGGGCCATAAACGAAGAGCTTTTTAAAGAATAGTAAGCCTTTAGATTTCTACTTGTGAATTTATCTAAAATATCTACATTTAATTATTTTGAATTGCTTTTATGATTAACAATTTCCTTGCCATTTATTTTCAGTATATTATTCTCTTTTCCTACAGACAAATAACAGAAAAAAACGGTTTTCAAATTCGATCTCTGGCGTGAATGCCAGCGGGTATGCAGATTCCATCGACAGCCCTGCTGATAACGGAAAACCCCCGAAAAATAAATTACAAGAAATAACTGAAACATTTCGTAGTCTCTTTATGGATAACCCCAGGTAAGAAAGTGTATTGAAGAGACATGTTATGAACGTGCCAATAACCATGTGACCCCTCTATCATACGTAACACTTCAAACTAAAACTTTAAGTAAAGAAACATGAAGACGGTTGACAACTATAGTTCTTTAAATTTTACTGAAGAATTCGTCGACGTACATTCTATAAACGTAACTACACTATTGTTGTTGTCGTATGGTATTTGTGAACTAGGTAATTCTTAAAAAATTATATTTTTGCATATATGTTTCTAATTTTAGATCAGATCGGATCGACTCCGGACACGGCCTCTCTGACATGTTACTTTCATGTTCATTTGACGGACGAGACTGCGTTGCCTCGTAAGTAAACATACTCTGTAGGGTTTTTTTTTTGTAAAAATTAAGGCGCTTAAGGCAGTGATCAAATATCATTTCAATTACTTTGAACTTACACAGGACTGTCATTCATTACATGTTATCTATATTGTCACCGCACATTTCATTTGCAGCCCCAGAATAGCTTCACTAGTGTTAGATTAGTGCTGTACACTAGAGCAACTGAAGGATAAAATAACATGATTCTATTGGTTTTTTGAGTCATTTATACTACTATATTACCAGGTCAAGTAGACCTATATCAAACAAGATAAATAGGTATAATACAAATGTACTTACTTTAGTAAGATTTATCAGCCGGAGCATTACTATAATGCGATGTCAATCAGACAATAAACAGATAAGAAAAAGAAATAACAGCATGTCAATACAATCATAATCCAAAATCAAATTCAGTAAAACTAAGGTCGAATGTAATCAAAGTACTCATGAATAAAGTACAAGGAGAATAATACAACGTGTTCCCGAAGAGTAACCGCCTTCTGCTTTATCGACGACACCCGACATGTACATCTTACTCAATCCAAGAAAGTAATGTCATGTTCTGAATGAGGACAAGGTATACAGTAACGGAACAAGCAGACAAACTAAAGGGTAAAAAGAAGTCATACAAATATTGAATATTTTTTCAATGATATCACAATGATGACCGTAACACTTCCACATCACCAATCTGCATCTTTTAAACCATGTGTGACAAGTTTTATCCCGTCAGTTTACGAATTCTTGCAGAAAAATTATGATTATGGAAACAGGCCCTCGAATATCGACATAACTTCAAAATGTAAACACGATAGGTCGGGGATGAAGGGATTTTTTGCCTTCCAAAAATTTCAAAAATTGACAGGGAAATTGAAATTATCGTGCTTATCATACAGCTTGGTGGAAAACTGTCCGTTCTGGTTCTGCTGTAAGAAACTACTAAAATAGAACGAACAATAGAAAATGGGCTTCAGCAATGTCCGTATTTATCAGGAGTCTTCAAATTAAGTATTTAGTAATAAAATAAATGAACTATGAGAATCGAATCCCATCTAATTCCCTTGAGAATACGATTTACCTTAAGATTTTGCAAGCTTTGTCTTTATCTACTTGGTAGACCATATTGTTCTGTTACATACAATGTAGAATTTTGTGTTATGTTGTAGATAATATTGATCCTTTACTGTTTTAAAATATCGATAATTTTGTTTGTGTGTCATTTCAGGAATTTTACACGGTACCCTACTGCTGAATATGGTAACTGTTTCACCCTCCGGGCCGAAAACTTCGTTGCTACCAACTCTGGCCCAGAATACGGTCAGAACGAACGCTTTGCATCACTTTATATTTAAACATATAGCGTTAGGTGAAGCGGAGGTATTTACGGTTTTCACCTTTGACCTCTAGAGTTAACCGTATCATATTGTGTAATATATTTAGATAGACTTACAAAGTAAGAATATTTTAGTTGTTTTATCACAGCCAACATGTACATATTGTACCAAACCAGATTCTTTCACATTACCAGAAAAGTGGCTGGATCAATTTCTTGATACATTCTTGATTGCAACATAAGTTACAAACGTTTGACCTGTCCAAGAAATATTTAGTTATATAGATGTTAAGTAAAATCAATATTTAGTTACTGGTCACAAATGATATTGACAAAACTGTTTCTATGTTCATTTGGAATCAATCTATTATATCATGTTTGCAGGTCTTTCTTTGATCCTGTATATGCAGAATGAAGAGTATATACACGGGATAACACAAGGGTATGGAGCTAGAGTCACCATTCACCAGAAAAACACTATGCCTTTCCCAGATGATAACGGATTTTACACATCTACGTCCTTTCAGACATCGATTGGGCTCAAATTGGTAGGTTTTGAAATAAAGATACGAAAAAGGTGTGAACGAAAATCCCGAGCAACAACATACGGAAACTAAATGCGATGTTATTGAGAGGATTAACCAGTTTAAATATCCATTGTTTCTTTTTTTATATATGTGTATTTTCCAGACCAAAAAAAAAAAAAAAAAAATAACAAAGAGAGCTGCCAGGGATTAACCATGCAGGAGGTTTAACACATATTTCTCATTGTTTCATTTTGTTTTGTTTCAGGTTGATATCACCCGATTGCCAGATCCTTACGGAAAATGCACTGATGGTGCGGATTTCAAAGCGAAGTACAACATAACATACAACCGAAAGGTAAAAATCATCAGTGTGCTGAGGTTTGTTGATATGTTTACGACAGTAAGAAGTAAGCCAAGGTGGGCAAGACAAGAAAGTATGTGGATACAGCATACATCACATAAATAGTAACGATATGCTTGGAAAATGTTATTCATATATATATATGTATTGTAGATAAAAAAAACTACCGGTGGTAACATTTTGGGGAATTTCAATAGCTTCCATGTAATAAAAATAATAAGTTTAGTTTTTTTTTGAAATGATAAAAAAGAGATGTATAGTGTACTGTTATCAGAATAATGTTTAACGCGGCTAGGAAAACTTTGACGCAAAGTAACAATTGTTTATCTTGTCAACAGATATTCTTTCTCTCGATTATGGAAAATTAAGTTAACAGAGTGCTCCTACGTGAGAATATAACGATAGGGTGTGGTATTGATGGAGAATAAAATAGTCACAATTGAAGTATTACCGCTGTCGCTGCTAGTTAGGGTGGCGAATGTAGTTTTTCACAATCAAATGTAAGTTGTGCCGCTACACAAAGGATTAAATTAATAGATTCGAGAAATACCTAGCATCAGCTGAATGTGAGATACCCCTCTCAGTAAGATCAGTATGTGAGATACCGCGTTCAGTAAGATCAGTATGTGAGATACCCGGTTCAGTAAGATCAGCGGAATGTGGGATGCCCCGTTCAGTAAGATCAGTGGAATGTGAGATACCGCGTTCAGTAAGATCAGTATGTGAGATACCCCGTTCAGTAAGATCAGTGGAATGTGAGATACCCCGTTCAGTAAGATCAGTATGTGAGATACCCCGTTCAGTAAGATCAGTATATCACATAGGCGTACGTCACATATTGACGAGGAGAGGTTAAGAGGATAGTGTACATACCCTTTCAAAGAAATCGGTTAAAAGTAATCCAACAATACGAGCGAATTGTCTTGAGTGAACATGAATTTGGGTATATCGGAACAGTGAGTTAAAAGATGTACACACAAGGCACAGAGTAAAAAAATACAAACTCATGGATAATTTGCTGCATATTTGTATCATACCGAATGCATAACTTTTGTTTCAGGCTTGCCTTGTTGTTTGTGAACAAAATGCCATCATTTCGGCTTGTAACTGTTTTGCGGAGACAAAAGACGAGTTGTTTACGCGAGCCAATATCTTGGATTATCGTCCTTGCAGATCGACTACGGGTACGTATCTTATTACCTTATAAATCCTTAAACATCGCCTTTTAGTAACTACTCACTGCTCCTCAAAACCTAGTGTGTCCTAAACATCGCCTGTCAGTAACTACTCACTGCTCCTCAAAACCTAGTGTGTCCTAAATATCGCCCATCAATACCTTGTGTTGCTAATCATCGCCTGTTGATACCCTGTGTGGCAAATAATCGCCAGTTTATACCTTGAGTGATCCTAAATATCGCCAGTCAATACCTTGTGTGATCCTAAATATCGCCAGTCAATACCTTGTGTGATCTTTCGTCCGTCAATTCTTCGTATGATTATTTTGTAATTCCTCTCAGTGAATTAAACTTTATTATCATTATATGTTAATATCTGTTAGATGAAACATCAATGGTATTTTCAGAACAATGGAGATAATCTAGTACATAATGTTATATTTTCTTTTTACCTCTTTTATTCCTTTTTTGAACATTTGTACAGTTAAGAATTATTTCTGTTTAATTAGATACTTACCTCACAAGGAAAATCAATCTTATTTTAGTGAATCATTCATTTTTCTTATTTTTGACTGAATTTCAGAAAAGACGTGTCAAGCAATCGTGGAGGAAAATTATAAAACGAAAATTATTTCATGTGCGTGTGATGAGCCCTGTAGGTAGGTTAAATGGTAAAATGAACGCTCTTCAAACCATGCGTCATTTCAGTGTGGATAATTCCCTAGCCTTACCAAACAGTAGAATGATGTAACTAAATTTATAACTGAGCTCTGCTGAACATGATTGATTTTTGGTGTCTTTTGCTCAGAATATACACAAATACTTGACGTTTCTTTTGAAATTATAAGATGCATATATATATGACAAAACATTATTGAAATATTAGGATAGTGCAATTTCCCATCTGACTTTTTACATTTATTTTGATAAATTTTGGTTACAATCTTTGATGACCTATTTTTACAGCGTATTCCTTGATTACGTAATGAACTCTTTGTAGGAAACACCTATTATTTTGCGATAATACAAAGAGAATGAAAACGGTTGAGAGAAATGTTCATGAATAAATTTAGCGGCTTCCTATAATTGACAATTCATTATTGGATGGCTCATTGTATAATATATGTGGATCAATATAAGACGTGAAATATCAGACATTGTTTTATTTTAAGAGCTTTTCAGGACGAAGTCAAACATAAAACAATGGTTCAGGCGAACAAATTAATTTTAAATGAAATAATAAGACGCATGAGCGAAAGAAGGAATGCATTCACAACAAAATCATACAGTGTAATTTGTTTTGATTGTTTGAAACAATGGATAGGATGATACAATTGATAATTTAAAATAATAATTTATTGTATACGAAAATACATTGCCTTCAAATATTGTATTAACATTCTTCAGCGAGCAAGTCTTTGTCAAGTCTATCAGCACCCGCCAATGGCCATCAGAGGACTACGCGGTAAGTTAACTTCGTTATTTTAACAAACATTTATTTATGAAATATATAGATATAAAATGGCAACGCAAACTTTATATTGTTTGTACATTTAGGAACTGAACACAAGTGGTACGAAAGAAAATTTTAGTATGAAAATTCGGACACCGAGCTTTTCATAAGAACAATTTGGACACCAAACACTTCTCATAAGAACAATTTGGATTCAGTGATAACCACGAATGATTACAATGATTTAAACACGTTTCTTTTATCGAGAATACGGTTACATTTGATCTTACTACTTACTGTGCCTATACTGTACTTTACATATACTTAATCAATAGTCAATTATATTCATTGCAGGTTGCTCTTGAACAAAGTATCTGCGAGAAACCTCGGTTAGCGGATGAGTGCACGAAATTGAGATCATTGAACAAACGTCAATTAAGGTACAGCAGAACGATAGCTTTTCAAACTACATAAATAGCAACTGTATTTTTATCAGTTCCCTGGAATATACACCTTTTCGTCGTGGTATTTATTTAATACATTGTAAAATATAATATAAACGTAATAAAATTTCTGCCATTTTTTGTTGTTCGGGCGTGAAGTTAACCGATTACTGAAATGATTCATATCTAATCATTTGAGTTTAAATTGCAGCTTGAACTTTCTGAAGCTTGATATTTATTACGAGTCCCTCAACTACGAATTGGTCGAAGAGACACCTGAAATAGAGGTATGCTAAAAATAATCATGTGATTTTAGTATCATATATGATTGATATACTGACATGTGATCACAGACAGTGACATGTTTACCTATTGTGTTTTATCGTATTCGTTTTAGGTCTTGCTATGTAAGTTGCTATTTGAATATATTCTGTGTTATTAGGTGGTCTGATAGCCCGATGAATAATGCGCACATCTTTCACCAAGATTACCCGACAAAAACTTAAAAAGTATTCACCTGCCTCAATAATCCAGATCCAGTGTGAGCATAAATCCAATGCCAGCAATATAAGTTTAACATTTGTATTGTTTGAAAATGATTACTGTTGAAATCTTTCGCCTTTCATCATTAAACACTTCAGTGTTTTGAATAATGTAGTCAATATCAATTATCATACAAAATATGCCTGATTGTCCGAAGCTTCTGGATCTGGTATCGTATATGTATTGATAGTATGCAACTTTTATCCAATTAGATACAACCAGCCCAGACATAATCTTATAAGCTTGTAATCAGGGGCATACTTTATTAACATATTTAGATCATATCAGAGTATTACATTCGGTTTTCAACTTCTTCTAATGTAATTCTTTAACGAGATCGGACTGTGAATAAAATTTCTTAACAATGTATACATAATCACACCGACATTTTAAAGGGATGTTTAAATATCTGAGTATATAGTATACCAAGTGGCTGTATCAAGACATTGTCTCTTTTGTGAAACATATATATGTGTGTGATATACTGACAAGATTAGATTCTGGTACAGTTATAAAATACCTTAGGATTTTTGCGGATGGCTTGTTTGCGTGTCCTTTATTCAAATCTGCGATGGTAATTTAAAGATTTGAATATTTTATGCGTCGAATGGTAAGCGCAAGGCCTGAAACATCTTTCAAAGAAGTAAAAGCGAGCTGTGTTTACAAAAAGCAATAGGAATCCTAAAGATTGTACGATATAGATACACATGTGAATAACATCCTTTAATACAAGTTTAGAGTTACAAACTTTAAAGTCTAATAATGAATTAAACTGCATCATACACCTTTTCCGTCCTTTTGGGACTCCTCAGTGATGCTAGTGTCCGACATTTAATCTTAATAGAAGATAACGTACATGATATAAAATCAATTGCGCGTTTACAATACCTAGTCAAGGATGCTGCAATTAAGACGAGAAGCTGATTTTTTTCTATGGTTAATTGTACTTGGTTGTACAATCATTATATTTGAGACATAAGTATACACGTTAAGCTACTGGTAATCAACTAAACAAATAACAACGCAGATCGTGAACGAGAACTGCAAACACAGAACTTCCATGATAATTGATCTCGGCTTGACGTCCAGAACAGGATTTATGCTGTTCAGAGCTAGACAGATATTCGCGTTTCGCTTGGGCTGCTTTCATCCATTGTCTCTTTTCATTTGAATTTATTAGAAATTGATAACATTGTGTAATTAAAGTACAGTATGTCACAAATACGCTGTATGTGCATTTTTCAGATAATTTATAAATAAAATGCAAAAGAGTAAATAGATAATAATAATCAGTCACAATAAAGATGCGGTGAGCATAATACGAAATATTAAGTGTGTTTCTGTATCCATGTAACACTCAAGAGGACATGGCTATACTCATGTTATCGCTCTTTTCACGAGTTTCTTACTGATTTCGATGTAATCACTACATTTTGCACTGTTGTAAACATTAATTTCTATTGACCTTATCAGCATAATACTATATCTTTCAGGATGCCCAGTTTGCATCTGACGTGGGCGGTGCTCTGGGGTTATGGATCGGTCTCTCAATACTCAGTTTATTCGAACTGGTCCAGCTTTTTGTGGAGTGTTGTGACTACGCCCATCACAGGTGTACGAAACGAAATGCATATAGAGAGAGACAAGCACAAGCCAATAGAAGAAACCACAGAGATCCTTCAAATCCAAAAACAGGTTTCAATGGTACCGATCGTGCAATGAACCATGAACAGAGTAGGGGAAAATATAACGACGAGAGACAATATGGTCTACGTGACAACTATTCAGATATAGGATCGACACAATACGGCATGGACAGGAGGTATCCCAATTCTGTTGATTATGAAAGAGAACGGGATGGCAGGTATCCAGCATCATCATATGTTTACAGAGGTCAGCGCTCCTGACCTTGAACTGAGCTGTTTTTATATTACTATAACTACAATAGATCAGATATATCAAACTGTGTCCTCAAGGTTCTTAATCCATCGTTTTGGATATTAGCATATTTATTTCAATTTTGGTTTCAATTGCCACTGTTAAAGGTTGGTTCATTTTGAAATAGGAAGGACGTCGATTGCAGATGGTCTTAAGTATTTAAAACTTACCAGTGAGTGTATTTATGTGGAAATAGAAAAGAGTGAGCATGTATGACAATGAACGGTTGGTGCTATTAAGTTATTTCCGGTTTCACTACATTAAGATGAGACATTAAAATTTGTTTGATATAAACATGATACAATTTCTTCCCTATAAACATGATACAATTTCTTCCCTATAAACATGATACAATTTCTTCGTTATAAACATGATACAATTTCTTCCCTATAAACATGATACAATGTCTTCCCTATAAACATGATACAATTTCTTCCCTATAAACATGATACAATTTCTTCCCTATAAACATGATACAATTTCTTCGTTATAAACATGATACAATTTCTTCGTTATAAACATGATACAATTTCTTCCCTATAAACATTATACAATTTCTTCGTTATAAACATGATACAATTTCTTCCCTATAAACATTATACAATTTCTTCCCTATAAACATGATACAATTTCTTCGTTATAAACATGATACAATTTCTTCGTTATAAACATGATACAATTTCTTCGTTATAAACATGATACAATTTCTTCCATGATACTATAAACATGATACAATTTCTTCGTTATAAACATGATACAATTTCTTCGTTATAAACATGATATAATTTCTTCGTTATAAACATGATACAATTTCTTCCCTATAAACATGATACAATTTCTTTCCTATAAACATGATACAATTTCTTCGTTATAAGCATGATACAATTTCTTCGTTATAAGCATGATACAATTTTTTCGTTATAAGCATGATACAATGCCTTTGTTGTTTTCCATTTATTAATTGTCTGCATTTCCTCATTCAATGATGATTCAGAGTTTCCCTTTGCAGGTAAATGACATGTGGCAATCAATAATATATTGAAGATTTTATTCAACATACGTTTAGTGATATTTGTGTTTTGTACTTTTTTCCGGACTTTCGACAATATAAAAAAGTCATGCTGGACCAATTATTTAATAATGTCAATGTTGATCGACCGTATTTCATAATTGTTATTAACTGTGCAGTTATTTCACTTTAAGAATGTATTAATTCTTCTGTGTTCAAGCCTCATCATGTTGAACATGATTTGGTCAATAGTCAATGGTCCTCTCTCTGTTTTGATACAGTTCTTGTATTTACTTGTTATAATTAAACGATTAGAAAAAATATCTTCTTGGTTTTGTTCTATTTGTTTGCATACATCTTGAAGGACTATCTGTATCAGTTGTCTAAATGGGATACAAATGTAGCACTGAAACGAAAGACTATTGGATAGCTCAGACAACGTTCAGTTGTTTTGATAACGATTACATATTGAAAAGAATCAAATGTGGACACTATATTTCTACACATCAGGAATATTAGGTCAACACAACGGGCAGAGCAACAATTTCCGAATTAGGTATCTAAATTTTGGTTTGGATCAGGAGACAAGTGTGCGTTATGTTTATATGACAGCAATAAAGCGAAACTCACAAATGGAAAAACGTGCATCTGAACAGCATCACTCCGCTTCTTCTTTTAAATAACACAGATGTACTATTCAATTAGATAAGGAGTAGTCTGGAACAATTTTTTTTAATGTTAATAACCCAAAAGCATAACTTTATGTTTATCGAGAATATCTCTATAATGATTTAGAGAAATACAAATTTAGAAACATAATCATCTCTTGCCTTCCTATATATTGAATCTAATCTTGAATATAATAGCAATTTACGTTTGTAACGAGCGAATGATACAATATGTATGTTTATTGTGATCTGAAGACTTTGGCTATGCTGATTCCATGAAAACGATTTTTGTTTTGTTTAAGTCAATATATCTTGAAAGATACATGCTAAACTGTTACATGTCAGCACTGACTATTTTCAGTAAGACGACACATGTCATTAGAAGAAAGCACTTATCATCGTCGGTAAGACGACACATGTCATTGGGAAAAAGCACTTACTATCGTCGGTAATACGACACCTGTCATTGGGAGAAAGTACTGACTGTCGTCGGTTAGACGACACCTTTCATTAGGAGAAATCACTTACTATCCTCGGTAATACGACACTTGTCAATGGGAGAAAGCACTGACAGTCGTCGGCTAGACGACACCTGTCATTGGGAAAAGCACTGACTTTCGTCAGTAACACGACCCCTGTCATTAGGAGAAAACACTGACTATCGTCGGTAAGACGACACCTGTCATTGGGAGAAAGCACTTACTATCCTCGGTAATACGACACTTGTCATTAGGAGAAAGCACTGACTGTCGTCGGCTAGACGACACCTGTCATTAGAAAAAAGCACTGAGTATCGTCGGTAAGATATTTTGTGATTTTCAAACTCCATCAAACTACCCTGAAAAATTAGAAATTTCTCACTTTATCGGACGTGATAGAAAGAACCAGCCTACAGGTACACTCAAGAGAAAGCCGATTTACGAACAAGGTGCTTGCCTATACATGTACATTAACTTATATATGTGTCTACTGTTGATCTGATCAAACACGAGTGGCTGTTTCGGATGACTGATTTCAATATCGAAAACTTGTCGAAGCATTACAGTTATTTTATCACTTAATGGAGTTTGAAAATCAGTTGAACTTTAAAAAACCTTTATAAACATATTTTGATGATGTCATACCTACGATGTTTGACGTTGGCGGAATTTCCGTCATTCCTTTGTGGTTGTAAAAATTCAATACGCAACTGAGACACTTTACTAAATACCACGTATTTGTTGTCTAACAAATAAATCAAGTAGAAAATACAAACAAGAGAAAAGTGTTTCGTCCTTAATTGTCTCGTCAGTGAAATTAAAGGCCTTAATTTTGAAGCCTAGGTGGCGATAAAGACAGCGAAAGAAATGCCAAAATCTACAGGGAGTGGGGAAGGGGCATACTAGTCACTTCATTTCTTTCCTCGACTTGATAGATAATAATAAGATATAAGATGGGAGCGTTGTTATCAAACATTTGTTTTAGTTATTTGATCACAAAGTGTAAGGACGAAAGAAACCCGAATTAACGTACCATAAAACAGATATCCTGAGATTTTCAAACCGCCTGTGTACTCGCAGATCTAATGGCAATATGCGTCATGTCTCTCGATATCTTACATTTTATTAGCATTAAATTTCTTGACCACGCACACATTATATTGGTAACAAAACATTCCAAGTTATGTATCCTTTCTGTCACGTATGTCCGAAGTGTCTGCTTCAGAATCTCTACAAATATCCTTCAAAGATACCTAGTTAGTGTCAAGACAGACAGACAGACAGACAGACAGACAGACAGACAGACAGACAGACAGACAGACAGACAGACAGATCTAAGATTAACAACAAGGGATATAAAATAAGGAGTATCTTACTATTTTATGATGTCCCCACAAAACGACACCTCAGACCTTGGGAGAGAATTTAAACCTATGAGAACAACTACCTTCTGCATTACAGGGGGGTTATATTAGTTCTTTGTCTATTAGCTGTTCTCCCAGAAGTATTTATTCTACAACTCGGTGAAGCAGTTTTATATATACTGGTATCCTACATGCTGGGTGTACAGATTAGGATATGCTAGACCATACGAGATCAGTGTGTTATCATGGTCGTTCTATTGTCCCTTACGACAGGAACAAACTTTTTATCTTAGTAGATTGTTACAGATGGCGATAAAAAAACAGGCATTTGACTTAGCACAAAAGGAACAATTCAAAATATAAATATTCCTTTTTATGTGATTATTCAAATTAATTTTATTCGGGGTTTAATAATTATAAATAAAAAACAAACCTTTCCTGCGTCCTATTTTTTTGTAGTTTGCATTGTAAGTTATGTATAGGATATCTATATTGAAATTCTACAAGTAATCTCAAAGAGGACATTTGAAACTATTCCAACCATTTTCATTAAAGTAAATTTGGTAAACCATCAGTCTTTTCAACCTATGATGAAGATCCGAGATGCTGTGGTACGATCAATGACAGAACTACCCTAGGTATAAGTTTCCTGGTACGTGCTTTGTGTGGACAGATTGTATTACAGATAAACAGAAAAGGAGAACTGTATTCAGTTATATTTGTGTAAACCGTCGTACGTTGTTATTTTGAAACTTTTATCGACATTAAAGGACCTTGGAGATAATGAAAGTGGCATTATCCAAGTAATTTCTCGCATTTTGGTGTCTGAATTAAACAAATGTCCCCTGGGTACGCTTGTTACGGAGTCCCCGTCACTCGGTGCATTTTTGGTTAATATTTTAAATGTGTCACTCAGTAAACGTCAAGCTAATCAGAGGCATACGAGTGTAGCAGTTACCTAGGCCTCAGTATTAATAGTTTTGTTGTATCGTTTATTTCTATATAGATATATTTACTCAAGAAGTTGAATGAATGACATGTGGATTTTAAAGAACACCAAAGAGTTTTTTAACCTGTCGTCAGCACTCTCTTCTAGAACATATTTCTTCTATACACTACCGTATACCATTCTTAACAGAAGGAACATCTTTATTCTCTAGTTATGAGAATTTTCTTTTTGTAAAGAAGAGTTAATAGCGGTACAGATAGTTAACAGTACTGAAGCGTATTTAGTAAAAAAAAATGCGTCCAATCAGAGAAGAAATATACAAAGGACTAAATCTTTTCTAAAAAATTATAATCTTGGTTGAAAGTATTGAATTTTCGTCTTCGGACGCCATCAGCAACATCCACCATGTAAATCTTGGTTTATCCAAGTATGTAATGACATTTTCTTAAATGATAACAAAGTAAACGACAACGGGACCAGCATGAATACTCTCAAGTACA